GAACTGGAAGAGAGAGAGGGAGAAGGAAGACCGGCAGAAGAAACAGTTTAGGAGTAAAACATACAGAACCCAGAATATCTTCCTTTACGTTCTCTCTCTCTCTCTCTCTCTCTCTCTCTCTCTCACACACTCACACACACACACACACACACATCCATTTTATGTTAGTAATATTGAAGTTAAACTTTTCTTGTTAGGGGCTCCACCGAAAGCCTCTGCTATCTTCATGCAGATCAACACAACTGCATTTTGTAGCAGATGTCTTTGTGAGTGTGCTTTTATAATAATAAAAAATAATAATAATAATAAATTTTATTTATATCCCGCCCTCCCCAGCCAAAGCTGGGCTCAGGGCGGCTAACAACAATAAAATAATACAACATTCTAAAATCATTTCATTAAAATTAATTCAACTCAAATTGATGGCAACCATTAGGCTAACGTTCTGTGAAGATTGCCAAAGGAGGGAGTCAGGCTGTGCCCTGGCCAAAGGCCTGGTGGAACAGTTCTGTCTTGCAGGCCCTACGGAAAGATGTCAATTCCCGCAGGGCCCTAGTCTCTTGTGACAGAGCGTTCACCAGATTGGAGCCACAGCCAAAAAAGCCCTGGCTCTAGTTGAGGCCAGCCTTACCTCTCTGTGGCCTGGGACCTTCAGGATGTTTTTGTTTGAAGACCGTCCGTAGGTACGAGGGTCCTGGGCCGTATATCACTTGTGGCCCCATACATAGGCATGTTGCTTGTGGAGTATGCGTTCAAAAGCCCCTTTTGGGCAACGTGACATTTGTGGTACCATGGTTGATGAGGTAAGACTAGGATGGTGGAAGTCCTTGGAGCAATACCGGTTTGGGGTCTTTCCAAGCCCTCCCTATAGTGACACACTTCTTTTTAGGAGGAATGGTTGCCCTCTTGAGATTTATCAGCAAATTGCTGGAGGACTATAGAAAAATAGAGCTGGAATCTGGACCACAAGTGATGCATTAAAAAACTTAAGAAGTGTCCTGATGTAAGAGGCCAAGGTCTAGCTAGTCTAGCATCCTCTTCTCACAATAGGCAACCAGATTCCATAGTATGACTATGCATTGTGTGGAGTTCTTTCTTTTGTCCGTCCTAAATTGTCCAGCAGAGAGAGAGAGAGGAGAACTTTACGCCTTCCACTTCCTCCAGACCATGCATAATTTCATAATTTTATGCACTTCTAGCATGTCCTCCTTTTCTTTTCCCAAATGTTGCGTCCTTTCCTCATAGAGGAGCTGCTCCATCCCCTCGATCACTTTGCCTCCTTTCTCCTGAACCTTTTCTAGATCTACAGTTTCCCTTCTGAGGTGAGGTGACCATGCAATATGTTAGCACCCTCTGGAGTGAGCCCTGCTGCTGTGTATACTTGTCCAGTCCACTGCATGCTTCTGCCTTTCAAGCGCTCAAAGCACCAGTCGTATCAATGTGCCAGTGCTTGTAGCAGATATAAAAAGACAACTGTGTGCTTGCTGAGTTAAATTTCCTGAAATCACTATTAGAGGGCTATGTGGCTCACATGCAGTGCTATAAGCAACCTGCTTCATTAAAACACTTGTGTTAAAGTGTGGAGAATGTGCAAAATATCGTTCCCCCTTCCCTCCAAAAAGCATATCTGAAAATATTAACAAGGAGCCAATATACCTGTAATATTAAAACACATGATTTAACATTGCATGCATGTATCTGAATTATCATAGAATTGTAGAGTTGGAAGATCTCGTCCAACCCCCTGCAATGCAGGAATCTAAACACAGTCCGCCATCCAGTTTGAAACCATACCAGATCTTGCTTAGCTTTGCAAATGTGGCAGCAGTTTTATTGCTGCACCACTGAGGTGGGAGTGTCTAATCAAGACTGGGACTGCAATGTGTGTATGTGTGCGTTTAATCCACTGTGGCAAGAGGGAGTTTCCCCCTCATGACCAATAGCTTCTACATTGGGATCATGGCACAGGAGAAAAGGGTTAACCTGCCCTCCAGTTTTGCACTATGGTCAATCCTGATTGGGTCCCTCAGCAGCTGGCATTTACACTTTTTTAAAAAAGGGAAAATGATTGGCAGGGACAACCATCATGTTTCAATGTCATGTGTAGTTTGGCTCTGAAATTCACAACATCTATGCGTCAGACAAGCCAACCAACCCTCAAATGGTTTGTAGACTATACAGTCTAGATTAGAGTGCTGATTTTATATCTGCTCTAGGCAGTATTTGGTTTCTTGTTCATGTCCTGACACACATATTTGCATGGAGGGAAGTGAGATGAACCCACAGATCTGATCAGCAGCACTTCCTCAGTGGCTCTTATTATGGATAGGATTCTTTGCCTGTCTTTTTCTGGGACACACCAGTTACATGCATTATGATTGTCTATATAGTTTTGCATCCGGGTTTTATTGACTCTGCTCACAAAGAAAGTACAGAGTAAAAAACGGGTCCGTCATGAAGATTTCAACTCCTGAAAATGAAACTATGGAGATGCAGCTTTCCCTAAGTAGTATACTTCTGTGTAATACAGCAAGCTTTTCCTTAGATGGAGACTTGAATTAAGCACCACTCTTCACCTGTTGCTGAGACTGCCACCTACAGGATAGCATCAGGCTGGATTTTAAGGGACTCCTCTTGACGGCTGGACATACAGTAGTGGCAGGTACTGCCCAGTCTTTGCAGCAGCTTGTGTGCTTATAGTCACACGCAGTGTATCGTGTATGGCGTCATCCTATACAGATAATGCCATTAGCACTTTATGTCCACATAGCAATTTCAGTGGGAATTTGACCAACTATACTGTAAAGTGGAAGGGACAATCTTTGACTGAGATATGGAACTTTCCTGAACTGGCAATTTTATTTGGAACCTGGAAGAACGGATTTTCAATGAATGAATGAATGAACTTTATTACGGTCACAGACCAGGATAAAGATTTTCAATGAACTTTGCAGTCTTTGATATCAGTAGCTGGAGTAATTTGCTGGTTGGGAATAAGGGCTGACAGCATGACCATATATGCATGTTTACTCAAAAGCAAATACTATTTAAAGGGGTTGCTTTCTCAAGTAAGCGTGCACAGAATTGAGAGTAAAGCTTGAAACAGAGATCTGCATCCTGATCTCATGGCCTCCCAAATAGTAATTATAAGCCAAGTGGTAAAACAGGCTTTGTAAGACTTAAGTCTCACATCTCTAGCAATTCCTCAGCATCATTACGGCACAGAACGTAATTACTGATGCATGTCTGAGGAATATCTTGACGCCAGTTAACGCCACAGGACAGGCCCAACAGCCCAGCCTGTTACTTTCTTTAAAGTCTGGGTCCCACAGTGCTATAACCCTAAGGGGTAGGCAGCACTACAGATACAGAGATACTTTAATTGTTGTCTGCAGTTTGTTTTGTAACTCGCTTCTGCTCAGTATTGCTGTCAGCAGATGATTCTACCATGCCCAGTTCTGCAACCAGTTCAGAAGGATGCAGTTAGAAAACATCCATTGTAGGCATATAGACCATCCATATAGGTATACAGTGGTACCTCGGGTTACAGAGGCTTCAGGTTACAGACGCTTCAGGTTACAGACTCTGATAATCCAGAAATAGTACCTCAGGTTAAGAACTTTGCTTCAGGATAAGAACAGAAATCGTGCGGCGGTGGCACGGTGGCAGCGGGAGGCCCCATTAGTTAAAGTGGTACCCCAGGTTAAGAACAGTTTCAGGTTAAGAACGGACCTCCAGAATGAATTAAGTTCTTAACCCGAGGTACCACTGTATAAAAGTAAAGGGTAAAGGGACCCCTGACCATTAGGTCCAGTCGTGACTGACTCTGGGGTTGCGGCGCTCATCTCGCTTTACTGGCCGAGGGAGCTGGCGTACAGCTTCTGGGTCATGTGGCCAGCAGGACTAAGCCGCTTCTGGCAAACCAGAGCAGTGCATGGAAACGCTGTTTACCTTCCCACTAGAGCAGTACCTATTTATCTATTTGCGCTTTGACGTGCTTTCGAACTGCTAGGTTGGCAGGAGCAGGGACCGAGCAATGGGAGCTCACCCCATCGCGGGGATTCGGTAAGTCCTAGGCTCTGTGGTTTAACCCACAGCGCCACCCACGTCCCACCACCACTGTATAGACCCACGGAAATATGAAGGTGCAACCTTATGGCATTTCTTCCCAGAGTTGTGGTTTAGCACTGAACATAAATAAGTGTTGGCTGCAATGAAATATTGCAATGTATACTAAACTTGTGGAGTTTAGGGGGCCAGTCATGCCTTGCTTCAGGATACTCCATTCTGTCCCATCCTTCTCTGTTTCCATTCCTTCTTTTCTGGATGGCAATTGTTAAGTTGTGGGTCAACATATTAGACGACACAGCGATTCTTCAATAATAATAATAATAATAATAATAATAATAATAATATCTTTATTGTCATTGCACCCTTCGGGGACAACGAAATTACTTGCTCTTGTTTATTCACAGGCCAGGCCAGAACTGAACTAAAGGGTTCAGTCAGCTTGCTTATATAGAGCTCCAGTACAATGTAACTGTAACAATTTTCTAAAACTATCCAATCACTGAACGTCACTTTCGATCCCTTATTTGCATAACTATCTACAGTATCCCACTGCTGGCCCAGGGTGAGAACTTCAGTACATAACAGCAATTTTACTTGGCTAATTAAGATGCTCTGTTTTCAGTGAGCTTTTTTGGGTGGCGTCGGCATCCACTTAAGGTATGTTTGTATTCTGTAAACAGTACATGACAGCCCAGTTTCCCCTGAGCATGTGAATGCCTCCCTCTTGTTTCTTGGTCACCTCATCATCCTCGTTCACTATTGGAAGGAGGAAAGTCTGAGGAGACCTTGCATGAAAGATGACTGTGCGAGGCACAGAAAGAACATTGGAAGCTACCCTATGCTCATGCTACTGGTCCATCTAGCTCAGTACTGTCTATAATGATTGGCAGCAGCTCTCTAGTTGTTTTGGACAGGGTCCCAACACTTGCTGGAGATGCCAGGGATGGAACCCGAGACCTCCTGTGTCCGGAGCAGATGCTCTGCCATTGAGCTTTGACCCTCCCAGGGTGGCTCAGGAGAGTCCACCCCCACTGTATGAACTGTGCTGCTTTCTACCAGCAGTGCACCCCTTTATGTGCTGTTCAGTGGGGTTTTTCAGGTGGAACTCAGTTCTGGCACCTCTCAGGTGCGTGCCATTGCCATTATAAGACAACAAAGGAGGCGTTCCTGGTGAGTTCCGGCACCTCTTTTTCTAGAAAAATAGTACTGGTTGCTGATGCATGCAGGGAAGGTGACCGGTGTAGGTTGATGATTGCTGCTGTCTTTGATTCAAGTAAGCAACACATCTAACCTTTTTTAAAAAATGCCTGTGCACTGAAGATGCCTTTCTTGATCTGTTGTTGTTGTTTAGTTGTGTCTGACTCTTCGTGACCCCATGGACCAGAATACGCCAGGCACTCCTGTCTTCCACTGCCTCCCGCAGTTTGGTCAGACTCATACTGGCAGCTTTGAGAACACTATCCAACCATCTCGTCCTCTGCCTTCCCCTTCTCCTTGTGCCCTCCATCTTTCCCAACGTCAGGGTCTTTTCCAGGGAGTCTTCTCTTCTCATGAGGTGGCCAAAGTACTGGAGCCTCAGCTTCAGGATCTGTCCTTCCAGTGAGCACTCAGGGCTGATTTCCTTAAGAATAGATAGGTTTGATTTTCTTGCAGTCCATGGGACTCTCAAGAGTCTCCTCCAGCACCATAATTCAAAAGCATCAATTTCTTGATCTACTTGGTTCTAAAATCCCTGTTCCCTGCAAGTTCCCATTTGATGTTTTCAGTAGTGTGTCATTTTGGAAGGAATGTGCAAGAAACGAGACAACTTTTGTGTGTGTTTTCAATGTCAAGACTGGAAAGTAGACTTTGCAGTCAGTCAGAATTTGTGTGTGTGTGCATGTATGTCTGTCTGTCTCAGAAATTAAAACAAAAAACAGCAAGCTGGGCACTCCAGCTACTGCTAGTTTCCTGTTTACTGGAGCAGCTGCATGGAGAGTATTACAAAGGGTGTGTGTGTATTAGGCAAGTCAAGCCACTGAATGGTAAACACAAGGCAGGCACCTAACAAGTTTTGATCTTTTCTCTCCCCCCTCTTCCACTGCCTCAACCTTTCTTTTGCCCCAGCCATTTTCCAGCCTGGGTGAAAGATCCTACAAATGTTTGTTCCTTCCCTTTGGAAAATGTAGGGCCCTTGAAGTTTTTTGGTGGTTTGCAGAAAAAGCCTAAGCTCTTTTAAGAGTATGAATGGTCTGTTTGCTCTCTCTCTCTCTTTCTTTTTTAATCAAGTACTTAGAGATGAAGAAACTAGCAATCTGCTTGCAGCTACTGTATATGCATAATTAATACAATCTTGTTATTCATAAAGTGTAGGAGAAATAGGGATATTCCCAGTTAAAAATAATGAAGTACCAGCTACCAACTAGAGTGCAGCGCTATTGTGATTTTATGCTGGGAGTTAGGCATATGTCACGACATTTTGGTTACTTATTTTGCAAAAGCTATACAAGAGAATTCATTCTGTTAACAAGCATAGTTAGACTCTGTTGGATACCTCATGTCCTGCTGTCTCTCTCTCTCTCCTCTTTTATTTTGCTGAACCATAGGCTCCTGGTCACTTTTTTAAACGTATGCAATGCTATAATTTGCTTGTGGATGTGATGAATTTCCTGTGCTCTTTAAAAAATGTAACTCTTTGCATTGTCCGCTACATACACTGAACTGATGGTATCTCGTTTCCATATTAATATATTGTTTTGTTAATTCCACCCCCATCCCCATATTTAGCAAAACCCACCTACATCCCTGTCTCTTGATCTCAAGTCCTGACAATATTAATAAACAGGGCCTTTCTGCATACTGACCCTTCTTGCTCCTAAAGGGGCCCAAGTTGCATTGGGTGTCTTTGTTTTACAATACATACAGTATAGATCTGTCTGTCCATATAGTTGCACATAAAAGCTTTAGCAGGGAGCCAGAACTGGGGGGAGAAAATTTTTATGATTCCAACTTGTGCAGCTTAGGGCTGAGGAATGTGGGGTTGTGTGTGTGTGTGTGTGTGTGTGTGTGTGTGTGTGTGTGTGTGTGTGTGTGTGTGTGTGTCTGTGTGTGTCTGTGTTGGGGGACTTGGAAATCTCGCTGCTGCAGCAGCACACTCAGGGTTACAGAGACGTGTGTAGAGAAACGTCTCAGCAATTCTTGTGTAGAGCAGGGGAAAGGGAGGGGAGGTGGGGAGAGCAGGGGCATTTTGAAACTGCTGGCTGCTGCGCGCTGATTGGCGGAGCCTCGTGTCTCAGCGTTCCAGCCATGCAGCTCTCCTCCCTCCACTCTGTCCATCCCGGAAGGAATTTCCTTTGCTGCTTGATCTATTGTTGTTGTCACTGCTCTTTGCTGCATGTTTTGGTCAGATCAAGTAACCATAGTATCAAAACTGTGTCCCAGTGTCTGCAGGATTTTATACTAGCCTCCCACAACCTTGCTCTCTTCCCCTCGCAACCCCTTTGCACGTTTCTTATTATGATTTCATAGGACACAGGGGGAGAAGGGGGGGGCTGTGTTTTTCCACTGCAGAGATGGTTTCAATTAAAGGCGCTCTCTATGTGGCTTGCTTCTTTTTTTAAAAGTTTCCTCTCAGTGATTAGATGCAAAGTTTTTTTTTCTCCTCTTCTTCCGTCCAGCAAAAGTTTCTGCTTAAAAACAAAACAGCTTTTATTTCCTCGTTGTAAGTAAATGTTGGGGGGTGGGGGGTGCGATGTTATACTGGGCTTATCAATACTTTCTCTCGCCCGCCGGGCTATGAGAGCGAGTCGAAACGCAGAGGTTGCCTCCCCACCCCCCAAAAAGTGGGGTACTTTCCTTTTCCTGTCTCTGCAGGAATAGATCATATGGAGGTGTGTGTGTGTTTAAGGGGGGGGGGGCTTTTCCAAATGTGCCTCTCCTACCAGAACCAAAATTTCGAGTCTGGAGAGAGAGAATCATTTGCTTGGGTAGAAATCCATTATTGCAGATTTTGTGCTGAGATCCCTATCCTTTCTAACGTAGCCATTTATTGTGTGCTTAATGTGAGAGGCGAACTGGTTTCCCATCTTTCCCCTGCCCCTTTTAACATGCAAAGAGGAGACGGAAGCAAGATGCCCCTTCTGTCTCCCCCCCCCAAAAAGAGGGGTGCAGCAGGTTTGCTTTAGAGCCACTGCAGTGTCTGGTGTGGGAAAGCGCGGGAGGGGGAGAGCGAGAGAGGCTCAGCGGTGGAAAAGACCCTGGCATTTTCTGCTCTGCAACACCGGCTCTCTTCTACTCCCTCGGGGTTTTGCAATGGCTAATTCCTCCTGAGGCTGACACTTGGCACTAGGGAGGGAGGGAAGAGGATGCGGAGCCGGGGATGAAGGGCGGAGGGAGCGGGGTGGAAGAGGACATTTCTGAGAACAGGCATATTCGCCGCGCGAGCTGGACTGGCCGCGAGAGGAACTCGGAGCAACACTGCCCCCTAGAGACCTCTCCGCCCCACGGCACCCAGACCCGGCAGGTCCTCCCCCCACCCAAACACACACACACAAAAACCGCATTTCATTCCCCAATTTGGGGCGCGGGAGAGATTAATTTTGGCAGGGAGAGCAGTGTGGCTTCGGGAAGGGATGCGGGGGGGGGGGGGAGAGAGAGATAAAGCCGGCGAGCTAATCCTTGCTGCGGTGCTTCTTGGTGCCTCCTTTTTTTTTAAGTCCACGTGGTGCCACGCTAATTTGATTTCTTCCTTTTTTAAAAGCAGTCTCCCTCTCCCTCAACTGGTTTATAAACCCCTGGAGACTTTGAGGGGGGAAAGGGGGGTGGGGTGGGAGAAAGCGCATCCAGTGTAGCGGGTCTTTATTCTCTCTGGGAACACTTCTTTGTCTTGCAGGAACGGCGTGGGTCAGGCAACTGATCTGAGCTTACATCTGTCATTTTCAAAGAGAGAGGGGAGAGATTAGCGGATACAATAAAATAAAAAGAATATCTGGCAACAAAAGCCTCTCAGAGTAGCCCAGGGAAAGTACCACAGTTGCCGGGAGACGTTGGACAACGCGAACAAGGAAATGGGACTGTCGCATATTATATATATAAAATATACACATAGAAAAGAATCCATAAAGGATGCTGAGCTCTGCCATGTGCTCCAAACTTACAGTGGCTTTCTGAAACCAAGGGCCATTGTGTTTATATGTTTCCAGAGAGCTCCCTGTGAAAATACAGGAATCTGCTGTCCTTGGAAGCCAGTTTCAGGTAGCTGAACACATGTAGAGCAACTTGAGGCAGATTTTATTATTGTTTGTGCCTGGGCTGGTTGGTAGTGGCCCCTGCTGGCCTAGAGAATTAACTGACAAGGGCCCTAGTATTAATAGCATCTTTTATCTCAGTCACTTTTAACAAATAGTGAAGGTTTTTGGCTCAAGCTGAGACAGCCGACTTTTTAATTGTGGTTTCCCGGCCTTTTGGGATGGGGTTTTGTTGTTTTAATGGGGGCTGAACTTCAGAACGTAGCAAGCAGCCTTAATCAGACCATTTGCTCATTTCTAGCTCAGTGTTGGGTACACACAGGTTGCATGCACACTTTTTCTGTAAAGCACATTTGAAACACATTTCCTTCTCCCCTCAAAGAATTCTGGGCATTGTGGTTTGTTAAGGGTTGCTGGGAGCTGCAACTGTCTGCCCATGATTCTTTGAGGGAAAGAAAGTGCTTCAAATATGGCAGCACTGTGTAGCGCATGGGATGTGTGAGGTGAGCATGTGACACTCTGAATGCTGCTAAACCACAGCTCCCATCAGCCTCCGCCAGCATGGCCTATGTCTGGGTAGGATGGCAACGCGTTAGCCATCCTTGCTTCAGCTTGCCAGCTGCTTTGGGACTACAACTCCCATCATCACTAGCTAGCAGAACCAGTGGTCAGGGATGATGGGAATTGTAGTCCCAAAGCAGCCAGAGACCCAAGTTTGGGAAACCCTGCTCTAGGGCAGCTTTTCTCAACCTTGGGTCCCCAGCTGTTGTTCGACTAT